AAAAAAAAAAAAAAAGAATTCAAAGTGCATCACTCAAACCAGTGTGCAAAAAAAAAAAAAAAAAAAAGAAAGAAAGAGAGAAAAAGAAAAGAAATAAAAAGCAGGACATATTTAGAGAAAGAGGCCAGAAACAAAAAAGACATATACTGTGATTTCATTTATGTAAATTCAAAAGCAGCCAAAGTAAACTAAATTTCTTAAGGGATATAGATACAGATGGTTCAGGTGGGGAAGTAATAAAAAATTATAAAATAATAGCTAAAATGCAGTATAACTCTGTGGGAAGGGAAGAGGTTGATGAATCAGAGAAAAATGGCAGCGGGTGGAGCTTCAGAAGACCTGAAAGGGTCTGTATCTCCATTTAGGCAATGGTTATGTAGGAGTTTGATTAATAACTTTTAAAATATGCATATATATTATACATTTCACTAAAAAATTATTTCTGTATTTTCCAACAACGGTATTTTACAAATTTATAGTTACAAATCAAAATACATTTATTAAAAAAAAAAAACAACTATGAGAATACGAGCATCATCCTCCCCTTCATAATCCAGAAATTCCAATTGTAGGGACACCAGAGGTTGTCAAATGCTCTGACTCACAGGAGGGCCAGCCAGTCTTGACCAAACTTTCTCTGGTCAGAGTGAGGTGAACAAAACAGAGAGAGTGCATGTAGACATAGAAGAGGGGTAGTTCCCCATTTTGGTAAAGTCTGTATACCATTCTGAGGATTTGTCCTACCTCAATTTGGGATTGGGATATTTTTTGATGCCCTTTCTATTAGAAAGTAACAGCGGTAGTTAAGTGGTAGCTTACTCTTTAATGTCCTTATTAAGAACAAACAGGGGAGCCTGGGTGGCTCAGTTGGTTAGGCAGCCAACTTTGGCTCGGGTCATGATCTCGCAGTTTGTGAGTTCGAGCCCTGCATCAGGCTCTGTGCTGGCAGCTCAGAGCCTGGAGGCTGCTTCAGATTCTGTGTCTCCCTCTCTATCTGGCCCTCCCCTGCTCACGCTCTGTCTCTGTCTCTCAAAAATAAACATTACATTTTTTTTAAAGAAATAAAAACAAACAAAACAGAAGGAGTCAGTCCTCTTTTTCCTTGAATAGGTCACTGAGGACCCAGAACCTATGAATCCCTAATTTACACACACCAGTGAAATGATTCTGTGTCTGTTTCCAGGAAAAGGCTGCTTCTGATAGAAATCTGAGTTGGTTACAAACTGCAGGAACTTCAGCGAGAAAGAGAGTCTAACGTGGAATGTGGGATCAGGCACACTTTAGGACATGCTGTATTAAATGTGAAAGTCACAGGCTAAGAGCCACCGGAGGAAGATGAGAGCCCCAGGAAAATGTATATAGTCATGCAAGAGCCCCGTCTAGAGCCCCAAATGGAGGAATGGCTTCACTTTCAGAATTATCAGTGCTCAGACACAACGTTTACACTCCCTGGGGATACATAGTTCCCTTTTGGAGACCCGACATGCTTTACATGCCCATGTTCTTTGAGTTAATGTGTTTTCTTTTGTATACATGTCCGCACCAGGTCAAGTGCAAAACTCATATGATGTAAAAATATGTTATAATTATATTATGTCCTTTATTGTGTACTATAGAATATATATACTTAAAGAGTATATTAGACAATATGAATTAATTGATGGCTACTACTTATGTTTTCTTTTGTTAGGTAATTTCATTTCCTATTAATTCTGTTGGCAGATACCACTATCCCCATTTTACAGATGAGGACTCTGAAGCTCAAAGAAGTAGAATGACTTTGTCAGCTCCTAAGCAGCAAGCCTGGAATGAAGTCCCCTGTGGTTGAACTTCAAAGCCCTGCTCCTAGCTACTTGCTGCTTTGTCTTACCACTGCATTAACATTCAAAGATCATTCCTATAAAGATTAAAATGCCACTTACTCTCTTAAACCACATTCTGTACTCACTCACTTAGTTTCTACTGACCCCTTGGAGGAAAGGACAGACTTTTCCCCAGAAGCACAATGAACAATACCAGGACATGTATAAGGGAGTGCAAGGGAAATTCAGAAATTTGAGCATAAATCTCTTTCAAAATAAAACCACAACATCTTTAATCAAGGCCTGGCAATCATCATATCGTTTCTCTGAGACTGGAATTGGTAAATGTGGGCTGTCCCACTAGGCCTTTAATACTTGGTTAGAAATGTATCCAAGAAGTTTACTAGCAGGACAATTCATGCAGCACAAACATGAATCTGTAATTCTCTTCCCCATTACCACAAAACACAGTCCCTGCCCTGAATTCACTTTGAAGACGAGTGCCTGGGAGAAACCATAAGAGCACTGAAAATGGGGCCAGAAGTAATAAATAGGGTCTGCCAAAAAATGTTAACGAACTTCTTCTAAAAGTAAAATCTATTGTCAGTTTACAGCTCTGAAGGTTGAACTGGAGGCATGCAATTAGCGAGCTGACTTGAAAGGTTTATCTAAAAGATTTCTTTCACCTGTATAAAATTAAGCAGCTGATAATTGTATCTCCTGGTACTGGTATGAGGAGAGTAAAATATAAAATAAAAATAAAACCAAACACTTTAATGTGGAATCTAATCTAATCTCTCGCATTATCCCAGAACATTCACATAAACTTGGCTACAGCGGAATTCTTCTCACCCAGCAGGACGAAGATCATCTTCTCAGCAGCCCAACTTGCCAAGCAAGTGACTTTCCTCCCTTCCTGACTTCCCCCTTAGAACTCATTCAAAGGGAAGACAAAGCCCCTGTGAGTGGATAGGAGGGGGGTTTGTGCCTGGCCCTTAGGGGTACTTTATTTTTCTTAAAAAGATTATCTCCACCTTACTGTAGGCCCCAAATAAAAACAAAACAAAAGCCTAGAACAAATTTCTGAGGCAGTTTAAATTAAAAATACAAACGATTGAGATATATTTTTAATTTATTTATAATTAGTTTACAGATTGGACCGCACCGAGACTCCAAAACCAGCAAGCCACTTGGGGATAAAGACTATTGCAATTATCTGGGACAAGCCAAATGCTACCTTTTGTTCTTCTATTTAAAAACAAACAAACAAACATCTCCTAGCAAATGATTTTCTATTTCCTATTTAAAGAGGATTACATAGCAAACAAGACTAGTGGCTGGAAAGCAAAGAACTTTCCAGCGTTTTATTACCTGCCAAATACAAATTAGTTCATTGTGGTTAACTCCTGCCAGGCAACCTCTCTCCCTGCCGCCCATCAGGCTGATGGGGGAGGGCAGGTTGCTTCCTGCCCGGTGTCCTTCGTAATCAGGAGGCTGTCAGACATGCTGCCTACCCACTGTCTCCCACATCGCATGGCAGCTCTGGTGTTGGGGCATCAAGGTTCAGAGCTTGAATTGCCCCAGTCACTAACTCGGAATTGCTCCTACTCACTGTCCCTGTCAAATCGCTGTGGGCCTATGTGAAGCCCTCCTCCAGGTACAATAAAGAAACCCTACAAATTTCACTTTGTAATAACTACAGGTTACAGAAATTGTATTAGCTCCATTAGATGGAGTCAGAAATATTCAGAAAGGTTAGCTGGATATAGTGAATTTCGCAGTTAGACCAAGATAAAAAATCACTTTGTTAACTTAGAGTGTTTCCTCATTGGTAACACCCTATATTAAGGTGCCATTTATAAACAGTTTATTATTATTTATTAATGTATGAAGCACTTTATAGCATGCTAGATAACAACTTAAATTCATGTATTAAAGATGCACATACATGGTTTAATAGGATTTACTTCTTATAATATTCTTTAAAACAGCTTCCCATAGTCTCATCCGTTAAGCATTTATTACTAATGCATTTTATAACATACTTTATAATACATTATTTGAGCAAGTAGCTGCATTTAGTGATCATTTCATAAATAAGAATAAAGCATTTATAAATGGCACCTTAATTTAAAGTGTTACCTTCACATTATTAGATAGCTGTTCACCATCCATCTCATTTTGCGATTATTCTCCAAATGCACCACTTAATAAAACAGACACTAAGTTCTATTTTCTCTTCATCTGGTTAAAAGTTTATTGAGTCATTTCCTCCATCTGCTTTCAGTTGTTGGGAGCTTGGAGGCTTTCGTATGATTTCTGATAAAGCCAAACTTTTAATTCAATACTATGTCTGTGAAGATGATAATAGTAGGAATGGAGAGCTACCTACCATGTTAGCCAGTGCTTGCTGCTTAGATTCTTTGTAAAATTCAAGTTTTCGACTAGAAAGGACGATCCAGGAAGTAGACCAGTTTTTCCTTAGGAAAAAAAAAAGGTAAAAAAGCATTATCACCTGAAGAAATCTTTCATAGATATTGTATAAGCAACATTTGGAATGAGTAGACTGTATTTTTCATTCGTCTTCATAAATATCTTTTCTTTATTAAAATCTATAGGTGGTATGGAATTTGGGTAACAATAAGGACATTCTGTAATTTTTAAAAATCATGGCATTTATGGCAAACATTTCTCAATTTGAATTTTCTCCCAAATTCTTTTTCATGAACAAACGCTCCAATTTTTGTGTATCCATGTCCCCCCACTCCACAGTCTATGTTTCCACAGCAAGCCAAAAATAGCAAAGTAAAAACGGATATCAGAACCCCTGCCTTCATTGGTACTTCTTCTCATTGTTTCAGTAAATATTAGAATCTGAAAAACTAGCTAGTGTGTCGCTGCGTACCTCAAAATATTTTTTAATGTTGAATCTCACTGGAAATCAAAGAAAGGCAAATAAAAAGAGTGAAATGCTTTTTCCCTCCTTGCCAATCAATTGGCAAGAATTAGAAGGAGTAACATGGGTTACTGAGAGTGTGGAGAAATGGATTCTCCAATACAACTCTGGTGGGAGTGTACACAAGCATGTTTTTCTGGAATGAATTTCGCAATATGTTTTATTTAAGTTTATTTATTTATTTTAAGGAACCGTGAGTGGGGCAGGGACACAGAGAGAAGGCAAGAGAGAGTCCCAAGCAGGCTCCACACTGTCTGCACCAAGCCCAAGGCGGGGCTCAAACCCAAGAACCTTGAGATCATGACAGGAGCTGAAATGGAGTCAGACGCTTAACGGAGTGAACTACCCAGACACCCCAGCAATATGTTTTTCCTTTTAATCTTTTAAAATATGTTTGTCTTTTGACTAAACAAGTCCATTCCTATGAATGTAATTTTTCCTAAAGAAGTTATCTCTTAAGTTGGTAGGCCTGTGTGCACAAGAATGAAGTACTCCATTATTTCTTAATTCTGCACCTAAAATATATTTTAAAAGATTAGTTGCCTAAATTGCATAAAATAGATTCCTATAATGGAAAATGAATCTTATGCTGTAAAAGAATACGGATATGGGAAGATTGTAACAAAGACCATAATACAATATGTAGTTTATAACACCCTACTGTGTATCTGCTTAAGACTATTATTCCCTCCTCTGAGCCTCTTCTGATGATTCATTTCATTCAGCAGAAGCTCAAATATTACATCCTAAATGCATTCCATGACTTCTTCACACAGCACTTATTGATTAAATTGAAAAATAATTTGTGTATTTTTCACCTCTATCTCCCACCATTCTAAAAAAGGCCTCAAAAGGATAGAAAGCATTTCATGCTTATGGAAGTATCCCCAAGTGGCCAGCACAGTGACTTGGACAGAGGAGGTACCACCCATGTACTCAATGAATCATTGTTTGAACTTAGGCATGGGGAGTAAAAGCTGGAAATAACAATAGTTAAATCAGGCGATAAAATCACTGCTTTTGATTTTCCTTTGTATTTCTTGCTGTTTATCAAATATCCTGCATTGAGCATGTATTCCTTCAGCAATTATATGTGTTCATTTGTGTCATGAAGAATGCCCTTTTTTAGATAGTAAAACATGAAGGAGATTAATACACCTAAGTTTCTATCCATTATATCAATTGCTGCAGTTTGCTTTAACACTCATTTCAAAAGAACTGATTTCATTTTATAAAAGTGGTATAAAAAAAGTTTAAAGACACACTTTCTTTATTCAGGTCAATAGAAGCCTACACAAAAATATGCTTAAAATGATCATTTATGATCTTTGTGTAATTTATTTCCCCTTGCTTCTTAGAACTTAGGGGTTTGATTGAAAGGACAGCTTTGAATTCAGTAAAGTTAATATTTTATTTAACAGTTTATTGTCAAGTTGGTTTCCATATAACACCCAGTGCTCATCCCCACAAGTGCCCTCCTCCATGCACATCACACCCCTTCCCCTCCCCCCATCCCATCTGCCCTATCTCAGTTTGTTCTCGGCATTCAAGAGTCTCTGATGGTTTGCCTCCCTCTCTCTCCCCCACTATTTTTCCCCTTCTTCTCCCCCATGGTCCTTCATTAAGTTCCTCCTAATCCTCTTATATGTGCAAGTAAAGTTAATATTTTCACCAAGATTAGATTACTCTTACATACCTGAAGCTTTCATAATCATACCTCATTGTGTAAAAAAAAAATGATAAGAAAAACCAAATAATATGTATTTTCCAATGTGCAAATATGAATATTATGTTCTTGGACCCGCTTGTCTTCAAATGGGTCTACCATTTCAACAAAACATTGAAAAAGGTTGAAACACACACACACACACACACACACACACAGAAGGCCACAAAGTCTTTTCCCCTCCTTTCCCCTAAAGCTGACTTCGCCCCTTGGGTACTAGTAGCAGCAAAAGGGATTGAGGGCAGCCATAGTTTGTCTCTACGCAGGTCATAATATCAGGTGATCCCGTAAAGAGAAAAGAAAAACATTGGAAAGACTGCCGGCCTCCACTGGGCATCTTTTATGTCCACCTCTTATTTTGACAGTATGTGATCAGGGAATATGGAACACCCTCAGACTGATGGAACCCGTATTTAACCTGCCTGTTATATTTCCCACTAGATCTTTCATCCCCTGGCAGGGAGATATTATACCTTATTTGTTTCCCGTCTATAGCGAGCCCTGGATAAATGGTTCTGATTTGAATCTGTTTCAGATGTTGATGGTTTACAGAACGTGTTGGCATCACTCTTCCCTTCCTTAAACTCTGGACTGGAACTGGTTAGAAACGAAGTTGCGTGAAATTCAATTATCTCATGGTTCTCTGTTAGAACTTTGAACTGTTATGAAATGTTCCCTGGCCGGCAAATCCTGATGCCCACGTCTGGAATGGTAAGAACTGCAAGGCCTGGAACCTTGGCACTACGAACTGCCCTGACACTTTCATTTTGAATTTATAAATTACAATGCATCTATGGTGTCAAAAGAGAAGTGGAGATTTTTTTCAACTTTCTTAAAATAATTTTATTTCAAAAGGAAGAAATGTTGTTGTCAACCTTTTTTAGATGCCCCCATATCAGTTCAGGTTTTTTTCCAGTATTTCTTTAAAAATAAACATTAGCATAAATTATTGTGAGTACCTAATCAAGATCTAAAGTTTGTCCAGTAGAGGTTGAGTTTCACAAAAAAGATAATGAAGCTACTAATAGGTCCACTTATTAATATAGAGAATGAGGCTCAGAGAGTTTAGGAAACTTACTTAAGGCCACTTAGATTTAGAATCAAACTCAGTTTCTCTGACTTTGAAGCCTGTAATCTGTTCACTACTTAATGCTGTCTTTTTTTTTTTTTTTTTAAGGATTAAACATTACTAACTTGGCTAAGGAAATTGTCAATGTCAGATCTCACCATGGGTTGGGTTGACATGCTGACACTGTGAAAGCTAGTGTGTACAGCCTGTGACAAAGCAGGAGCCATGTAGGCTCTCTTATGAACTACTTTGCCTGATCCTAATTGGAAGGACAGAACACAGACCTGGCACTTCCAAACTCTCTACTTCTCTTAGAAGTTGCACTGATTTAAAGGATGGACCATTCAACTCCTCAAAAGCTGGAGGCAAGGCACCTAACAGTGGCACCTCTGTCTCTTTTCTGCTGAGGAATTATTCTGCTCAGTGATGAGCAGACTCATCTGTACTCTGTGAAGATCAAAAAACCAGGAAGTGAGTCAAAGCCTCTAGTCTAGGAATGGCTGAGAATTCACATAATGGGCACAACTTTCAACCTGTGACTTAAGTTGGAACCTACTTTTATGGATGAGGTACTCTGGGACTTGACCAATTTCTGTCCAATATCTGGTTCATACCCCATCTGGTAGGTTTGGCTTGTGGTGCCTGTAATTCTCAGGATATCAGTTGAAGAGCTTTCTCCCCTCACTACTCTAATATGGGAGCCACTTGGATGGCATCATCAGCTCTGGAGAGAGTCGTGAAAAGGGTCAACTGGCAAACTTTTGCCCTGATTTGAACTTTTAATACTTTCTTTATGCAATCAAATCCTTAGAGGTGACTAGTGCTCAGTGTAATGAGAGACAACCCAGGAAACAAGTTACTCCTGCAAACTTGAAGGCGTAGCCAGAACAGGTAAGTCTTGCAGTTTCTGATGAACCTTTTAAAATAGATCCTTCAAGGATGAAGCAGTTTTCAGAATAGAGAGGAAGCCCTTCTACTCCCCCATCTCCTCCAAAGAGACAGACATCATCCCTAACCTCTTACAGCCTTTCCACTTCTGTGCACATTATCTGACATTTGGTAGGTATCTATTAAAGGTTTTTGAGCAAAAGGGTATATATGGACTCTCAAATTTCAGGAAGGTCACACATCTAGATTTTTTTCCCCTGCTCTGTTATTCACTAACAAGGTGTACAAAAGCACCAACCTCCTGTATGTCTCTTCTCTGTTTCTTAGTCCCCTAGTGTTTTCATAAGTCATTCCTAACATTAAAGAAACAACAACTATTTAATGCTGCTGGTTTAGTGTATCTTTTTCTAATTTCTAATTTTATAATTTATAATTCTACTGGCAATACTTGAACTTTCTCTAGAGGTCTTTCTGACTTTCAGAGGTGTGTCAATAAGAGGAGTTATTATGCATGCATTGTCCCCACTCTGCTAGGTATTACACTGGTATTTTGCTATATGTGTCGAGTAATTAAATCACAAACTCAGTCAGCTGTATCTATTGAGCTTCCACCACACAACGGTCACCATTCCAAGAACTGAATATATAAAGGCAACAGGGGAGCCTGAGTGGCTCTGTTGGTTAAGCATCCGACTCTTGATTTTGGCTCAGGTCATGATCTCATAGCTCACGGGTTTAAGCCCCACATTGGGCTCTGCATCGACAGCTGCGAGCTGTTACGAAATGTCCTCTCTCCCTCTCTCTCTGCCCCTCCCCTGCTTGCTCTCTCTCGCTCTCAAGA